AAAAAAAAAAAAAAAAAAAAAAAAAAAAAAAAAAAACACATCATAGTACAATAATACCTACTCAGCTTCGCATCGAAGCTAAAATTATATATATATATATATACACACAATAGTTGTTCTTTAATCATTGTCTAATTAATGAATCGAAAAATTAAAATAATATTAACAATTTTTTGTTGGTTTTCTTTAATCATAATTTTTTCTTAATATATCAGTAATAAAAAATATTTATGCTCATCCATTGTACCTTATATGAGTGCATTAACGTACACAGAAATTAAATAAATATAAATTCTTGGGGGGGTTCAACCCCCAACTCTTCCTTGCGTACGCCAGTGTATGAGTGTCATTTTTATATTATAAAATAACAATATGCATAATTAACTAATTTATTTATTAGATAATGATAAAAAAATTACTGATCGATAATACCTTTTGGACCAGTATTTGAATAGTTATTAACAATTAAAAGTTATAAATGGAGGTAAGGAGTGAGTCCTGCTATTTTTATTACTAAACCTTTTTCGGTCTTATTCCCTCTTATTAAAATTAATATATAAATATTAAAATTTATATCTGAAATACTGGTCAGAAAATTGTTACCGACTGGTCATTATCTTAATTAGATTACTTAATATGTTTCCATTTAAATAATTTAAGTTGATATCCTAAGGTATAATGGATGAACACAAAACAACTGATATATTGAAAAAAATATATATCTGAAAGAAACCAATAAAAAATTATTTATATTATTTTTATTTTTCGATTAATTAAGTGATCAATAATATAATTATCACTCCGTATATAAAAATATATAAGGCATCATTATAGTTAATTTTGTATTATAATTTTAATTATAATTTTGTCAATAAGGTTTGAGACACTTTATATATATATGGATTTACAATTCAAGGCCATGTTACATCCCATTATCTATAAACGAATCAACAAATTTAAAGGACATGTAAACCTAGTTTATTTTATTTTGATAATAAAATTGTAAAATGATTTTTATCATTAAACCTGATTAATAAACATTACTAAAATTAATTAAAATTCAATTTACATTTATTAAATATTGAAAATGTATTAGGTACACACGATTTTAAAACTATATTAAATACTTTTGATGAAACAAAGTTTCCTTATTTTACAGTAATAATCATTAATTATGATACTAATTTCATTATGATTATTATTCATTTTATTAATTGCAAAAGTAAAAAAGTTACCGTGATCGATATCCGAATGCCAACTTGTTTGACTAGATAATGATGCAGGACTTTGACTATAATAAGTAATTTCCGAATTGGACTTTTCTCTAGGACCACCCAAATCGATTTCCGTATCATCTGCTGAACTCATTCTTCGCATTCGTTTTATCCGCGGTTCATTTAGTGGGCTTTGAGTTCTTTGTATTGACATAGGACCTGAAATTTAAAATACAATAAAAACGATCATATTATATTAGTAATTAAAAATATGAAAAATAGTGTTTTGAAATTGTACTATAGTTTCGTTTTTTTTTTTTTTTATAATAGTATCTGTTTTGCATTCATCATACTTTAGAAGTGATTTATTTTAATAATTTTATAATTTATATTAATGGACAAAAAAAAAGTTGTCAGTTTTAGGTGTGTAAGGATTTTTTTTAATATTTTAGGAACTCTTATTCCGTAAATGGCCTTAAAATTGTTTTATAAGCTATAGTTTTTGAAATAACGCTTCTTTTTCATTTTTAAAATGATGCCAGCTTTTAAAGTTACCGAGCTTTTTTAATAACTATCAAATTAACTAATAATATGTTATATAAATGTTACAGACATGTAAAAACTGATACAATTTAAAAATTCCAATTAGTTAACCTAATTAAATTTAAATTTACATAATAGTAAAAAAAGTATGAATTTTTTAAATTTTAAAATATATTAGAAATATTAATGACTAAAGTAATATCTGTAGAAATCATTATCACACTTTTCATGTAGTCTGTGATTTTCGTTATAATTATAATTAATTTGTGTTGAGTTATGGAAAAGGTATTGTCCTTTTTTATCTAAATAAAACTATTATGTTAAACATTAATCAGATTTTTTTTTCTATCATAGTTAATGATGAGTTTTATTACATTATTATATGACCACTTGCATATTGATGATATGTATTGTTCTTTCCGATGTATGTGTTATAATATTAGATGATACACATTAAATTCGATCCATTTGGATTTCGGTGAAAAAATGTCAATATTATTCATATGTTAGTATTTATGTAATTTTAAATCAAATTGTACTATATTTTTAAAGGAATACACTGACATAATAAAACGCAGTTTTATGTATTTTTGTAAAATTTGAACTAAAATATAATAAATTATAGCTTATTAAACTTTGAATAATGTGAATTTATAGAAAAAAAATTCATAGATTTGTTTTATAGTTATATTAAATAAAATTGATTTAGGATTACCAATTGGGATTTTTAGTATAGTATTATATTCTAAATGTCAGTAGCTTTCATACGACATATTACTATTTGATTTGACAGTTATTACAAAAGCTCAGTAACTTTGAAAACTTGCACACTTTAAAAATGATAAATAAGCGTTATCTCAAAAACTGGAGCTGATAGGGCAACTCTGAGATCATTTTTGGAATCAGAATTCCTAAAATATTTAAAAAAGATTCTCACATCCCTGAAAACAACAATTCTTTTTTTTTTTTTGCTAGCTTATAATTTGATTAATTAAACTAATTATTTTGTTTGAGCAATTTCTTCATGAAAAAACTGCTTAGAATGATTTTGAAAACAGTTTCAATGAGTATTATATTATATCAATATTAACAAATAAATTTTCATTGGCTTGATGTAGTTTCCCTGCTAGTCTAAAAAAGTTGATTTATGGTAAACAAAAAATAGCTAGGTAATATAGCTAAAAATATACAAGGCAAAATTATATGGAGTAGCGAAAAAAAAAGTTTTGACTTCGATGATGCCAAATAAGACAATATGGGAACAATGATGAACTTAAATACTCAATTTATTCTTCATGTAATGAATTACTTAGATATGAATAATGTGTAAATTAACGATTTCCATAATGGCCACATTTAACTTAATGAATTTCCTTTCAATAATAATAACAATGAAACTTCTACAGAATCCGATACTCACTGTAACTTCCCGATGCCATAATGGAAGAATGGTCACCCGGTGGGGTAAAACTGCTGCAATAGTACCCTGGGTTTTCGATTTTGATAATGTTCATCGGTGGCATACCGTTTGGATTTTGAATTATAGAGGCTGTGAACAAAACGAAAATATTCTTAATTAAATTTTACGGTTTTTTAATAATATCGTTTCAACGATTATAAGTTAAATGTTTAATTTTATAGAATACAAGCCATTTTAATTAAATTATCTACATAAACTCAAAAATCTTAGTGTACAAAATAAAATGCATTAGTAGAAAAAAATTACAAAATAAAAGACCGAGAAGTTAAATGAGCTTCCTTGTGTGTAATAATAACAGTATAGCCATCGGGCTGAACATTATCTTTACTAACATTATTTGCAGTGTAATTGTCGGGTTTTACGTCCGAATAACTCGGGTCACTACGTGTGTTTAACCAAATGTTATGTGAAAATGATATGTAGACTACCGTCGGTGTTCAAAAGGGTTGCGTATAGAGACGAAACAGAGAAAGAGACGGTGGCGCTTCTTTCTCTCCTCTAATCCTTAAAAGGGGCAATGTTGTGTGCCAGTAAATGTTGCGGATACCAATGGATGACTTACGACTTGGAAACAGGCGATCCTCAGCGTGTGTACCATATAAGTGATATCAAGGGAGAGATGACCTCGACGGCGCAATCACACGTATTCCATAACTTGTAGGGGTTATTGGGCACGGAAAGAGCAAGTAAAAGACGCCGACCGATAAAGAGATATTACAATAAATATCAAGTATGTTGACAAGTTACAACCTCATTAATAGAGCCGTCAATATTGTTTATTTACTTTATCTTTTAAGTGTTGTCTGGACTGTATAATTTTTGTACAAAATTTAATTCGAATAAATTTTTCACGATACAATACAATTATCTTGTTGAAAAAATATATAATTAAAAAAAAGTTAAATATCCTGTAGATATTTGATTAGAATATCGAGTAAAACATTTTTTCGTGTAATAAGAACTTTATTGTGACAAAATACATTTTTAGCTCTATAAATAATGTGTACATATGAACAATTAATGGTTAAGTATTCCTCCGAGATAACCTATATCTAATTAAAAAAGTGAAATATTACAGCAAGTATTTAAATGAAGAATTGTGAAACGTGCAAGACAAAATGTTATTTATAAAATCATATAAATCATCTTGTTTATTGTCATTGAAATTTTTATTACTAAAACTTCCCAGGTAAATTATTGATTTACAACATAAAAAGTATATAATATTCTTAGTCGATAATAAATTAATGGTTAGCTAGCAAAATTATTATTTTCCATTACTTAATTTCGTGTTAAACACGAATCGTCTTAGCCTTTATTTAAACTGATGCGTATAAATAATACTTCAATGTGTATGTATTCTTTGTTAGAAATATAAATATACATACAAAATTCATGAAATATTATTACATTTTTTTAAAGCTTAAAAAGCTTAAATAGAACTCAATAAATTACATTTGAAAATTAAAACTAAAAGAAAAGAATAGTAATTATCAATATTTGAAAGAAAACTTGCAATTAATTTTTATGAGAGTGATTATTACTGTATTGTCAAAAATGTAATGTGTATTGATCATTTGAGTATTTAACGAAAACAAGAATTGCATTTCACTGTATCATATTGCTAAAATCACTGTTTAGCCCTATACATACACGAAAACACAATAGTATTATTTCAATTGAGAAATTATAAAACTGTGAAAATTGAAAGTTATGATAAACTTATGTCCAATAATTTAACAAGTTGATTAACTTAATTATTATTTTATTACTGATTCAATAACCATGCAATAATTGTGTATAATTTTTCGTTGATTTTTTTCAATATTTATATTTTTTAAACGTTATTATTAACACTATTTTACTTCTAAAATATTATTGTATGATTGTTGTCCCCTACCTTTGGATAGTCTCCAAAGTTCTTTGGACGAAAAAACGCCGGTCGCTAAAATGTTATCATTGCATACCACACCGTTATAAGGGTTGTGAGAATAGCCTGCAACAAACCAGAAAAAAAATATGAAAACGTATTCAACATACTATTTGAATACCTTTGAACAAAATAGGTATAGGTAGATATCATAAAAAAAAAATAATAAAATGCCCAACTAGTCATTTTGTTTAAAAAATAGTTATTACAATTTTTCGTGATGCGGATGGATTAAAGGACAATTGTTATTGTTACTGTATTTATTATGGCACCAAGAGCAATTTTAAAACGACGCAACGTTTATAATTGAGCTTTAATAGAGTGTCTAGACTACCGCAGCGTTTTGGGTGAAGAATTAACAGCTAAATACCCTACGGATTAAGGCCCTAATTTAGCCACACTTTGCTTTGTATAAATGTAAGTTTCTTATTTACAAAGAGAGAAAACTATAAGTAATGCAAGAGTTATTTACGCAATTACAAGTTACCATCTTGTGTGTCATTTATTTTTTTAAGACAATATAAGAAAAACCGTTCTAGTAGAGCTTCCTTGGACGTTTTACGATTAGGAAATTTATTAGTACAAAAATGTTATCAAACTCACGTTACGTGCGTCATTATAAATTTGGAGAAGAAAAAATATGTTGATCGACTAAGTGTATCACACCCTAACCTAATGTACATCGGAATATGTGTTTGTGTATATAACCGGGTCATTGGTTCAAACCTGCTAACGGTCCTGTTGATGTAATTTATGTGCTTACACGGTTTGTTGATGGTGATAGTTGTGCACTGCAAGAAAGCACTTTTTTTATGGCCTATAGGAATGATGTGCAACAGAAGTACATCAGATAACGAACGACTGAGGTAAACGCTTTTTTCGTTTGGGGTTCCTTCACGTGATAGGAAAACAAAAACGCTACTTATAAACCACGTTTTGAGGGTATATTAAATAAAATCCAATAATTTAATAGCGTGTGATGTGTTTGGCAAACGCCGTTCTTCCTCAGCTGACGACCCTTTTATAGATATAAATATTTTTATTATAACTATCACCCGGTTTAGGGGATGGAATAAGTACAAGTAAAAGTGAAATCGACAAGCTGAAGCCAAATGGTCCATAACGATACTTCGTCAAAGATTCGAACAAATTTGCATCCCCACAGAACGACGTTTAACGATTGCTGACTCTCACGCCTCTTTGTAAATACCAACAAAGCTCACACTGATTTATAATCCTTCTCTTTCCTCGGAGTCTCCATTCTTTATTTCCACCGTCACGAATCCGCACATTTGAAGTAGAATACAATCTTTACACACAGAAAGCTCCTAATAAGTGTTATCAGTTTACACACGATTTTATGGAGACTTAATTATATTTTGGTTGAAATAAAATAAGGGACAAGTATAATAATTGACTATTGTCTAATGTGAGTTGTAACTTAGTGTATACAATAGGTTCATTAATTAAAAATGTTCATTTTTAATTCTTCTACAATTTACTACACTTAATTTGTGTTGATTAGTGAAATACGATNAATGTGAGTTGTAACTTAGTGTATACAATAGGTTCATTAATTAAAAATGTTCATTTTTAATTCTTCTACAATTTACTACACTTTGTATTTGTGTTGATTAGTGAAATACGATTAAAAATTGTACTTTTTAAAAAAATTATATCACAAATAAAAAATTCTACACAGAAACTGAAGTAGAAGTATACTTACTATTTTTTCTTAACATAAACATTATATTTAATTTTGAGATATATTTTCTATTATTTTCACTGCAAGATTGCAGTTTTCGACTAGAGAGATATAATAATAACAATAATGATTTCATCAAATGTAGTTTTGGTCATGTTACATTTAATACGGTTAGGAGTTATAAGAAATTCAAAAAAAAAACGTCAAGGCAATTTAAATTTCTGGAACGCGATCAAAAATACTTTTGCTTAACAATCTCGTCCGAACATTCATATTTTTAATTGAGTAGATTTTTTTTTAGGCAAATCCTCAACACAATGTAAGGTACTATACAATACAAAACAATCCAATAACACATCTTAAATTTTTAGTATTGTGAATAAATTGGACAGGAATTGTTACCAGATTCTTTTGGTACATTACATGGTGACATTTCATTAAAAAGTTTTTATGAAACTCTATGAATTCATTTGTTTCCAGGGGTGTGTTTGTTTGGAATAAATCAAGATTAAAAGGGATTTCCGAAGTTTAATTTATGTTCAATACATTCATTTTGCTCGCGAACAATCAGTCGTAAGTCTATCTTACACTACACTAGGTGTTTCAGTGAATGAATTAAAATAACGTTCAAACATAGAGTTTGTGTAGGGAACACAAAAGCAACATGACTATATAGTGTATGTGTACCACTGCTTTCGACCTCTGTGTCTCTATGTATGGTATATTCACTCGCCTGCTTGTGTATTTATTCTATCCCATTTGGTCGAGATACCTTTAAACAGATAAAATTTCTAGTGTGTTTATGTGCGTGTGAATTGATAGAGGATCGAGTGAGTTATAGGGTTCGTCTTCAGAACAGAGAGAGTGAGAGAGCGCGCAAAGAAATGAATTTATATGTATAAAAAAAGAAAATAAATAAAAGGGCGACACAATACTGCTGCTGCTGATGTTGCCGATGGAGGTATAGAAGGCGAGGAATTGCCTCTGAATACACACACGCTGTGGTATAATGTATATTTAAATGTTCGTTCGTTTGGAAATGGAACTCATATGGAAAATTTCGGTCATATCTTCCGCGATGCCTAACACGTACACAATAATTTACAGATTAAAACCGGCCGTTTTACGTTTCAAAGACGATATATATGATGTGTTTATAAATTTGCAAAACTGACAAAAATTTTAATAATAATAATAACTACGGCCGTATAGTGGTAATAAAACGCGAGTCAAACCAATCGCTTGCACTTGTCGTTGAACTGTACTAATTACCAGTATCGAGGAGGGTACGACTGAGTGTGTGCCGTTTTTTAAATTTATTTCTTCTGAATGTCATGGTGACAGAGAAAATCGTGACTTTTATCGAACCAAAAAACACATTCCCAAAAGCAATAAAATGAAAAAGAGAAATAAACACAAGAAAAACCCCGTTAAAACGACCCTGCTCAACAACTATACTGTGCACTAATAAGGGACATTCATATATCACAGAGCAGTGGTGCGTTTAAGGGTTTTTGCTATCGGAAAACAATGCTGGTGTACGACCCTCTACCGCTTCTAGAGGTTTTTTAGTCTTGGGTATGTTTTACTTGTTTAAAAGTTTTTCTGAAATTAGCGTTATGTATGTAGGGAATTATCGGCAAAAAACATATACCAAAAGAAAATTCATATGAGCCGTCGACAAAGTATATATGGAGACAATAAATTTTCTGGTACGCGCATTACCAGCAAGCAGAAGGAAAACGAGTGGCGTTGTAAAAAAAACATTTAATAAAAGGGAAACGATACAGTAATGAAAGACGTTACTTATACGCCAGAACTACTACTTTAGATTTATCATGTAAAAAAAATAATAAAATACAACCAAGGTTTGTTGAACATAGATTATCTAACAAAAAATAATATATCATTTACGAATTGGAAAACAAAAAAAATAAAATAAACTGAGATAAAATTCAAGACCAAATATTTAGTCGATCTATAACAATGTTCAACAAAAATATATACAAAATATAAAGGTCATTTAATCAATTTTCTTAAAAAATGTAATAGTAAATGTTGTGTTCCAAAAAAAAAAAAAAAATTGTACTTCTTGTTTTAAATAAACTAAATTTTTGTCATTAATAATACACTTAATAGTATTTAAACGATATTAGACATATTAGATATGTTTCTATAAAATCTAAAGTTAGACAAGACAGAAACGCAATTAAAACTTTATTTGTACAACTCCAAGTAAACGCTTTCGTTTTCATTGTACTTAGAACTATTTGATGTTGTCTTTTTATCGTTTAATATATTTCATAATCTATTAAAGATCATAACTTACAACAATAAATATACTATCATTTTTTATTTAGATTGAGATTTAAATGTATAGATAAAGAAAATTAGCCAAGGGGTTCTTTATGATTAAAAATTATAAACATATGTTTAACATCGTATTTTTTATGATAGTATAGTTGATCCAACAAAAAGTTCAATAAAATAATTATATCTTAATGGGTATTATACAATATCAATTTAAAATTAAAAGTTCATGTTCAGTACGCAATTATAAATAGGATAATATTATTTTCTAAATATATGTGAATGTCTGGAAATCGTAAGCTGTTTTTTAAGCTGAACAGGCTTAAGACGTAAATAGCAAAAAAAAAATGCATTTGTTATATGTAAACTATTAAACAACACAGAAAACAGCCTGGCCAGTCTAGTCCAAGTATAAAATAAATACACGTGTACTAATGACGGGCGAATATGGGTCAAAATCTCTTGTATATACTAATGAGTGAAATATAATAAAATTAAACGCCGGTCTACAAAAAACATATTCTATTTTTAGAATTTTATACTACTCAAAAAATGACCTGCTGCCGTTACAATATTGTAACGGCAACAGTTTAATTCATCGTGACATTATATGATCTTATGTCGCAATGTTACAATGAACAATAATTTACATGATTTTAAGCACAGTTTATGATGCAGAATTTTTTAGATTTTATAATTTAATTGTATTGGAAAGTGAAACTAATACCTTAAATTAATATAAAAGTTGCGCATCCGTGTATGCTCCGAGAAAAAAAGTATTCGCGGTTCGTTGATTCTCGAGGGGAATCTTTCGGGCGGAGATTTAACAATGGCAAAAAACTATACGAACAAGAAAAAACAACAACAGCGAAAGTCCATAAAAGTGCGAGTATTTGTTTGTTGTGGTGTACAGAAAAATAACGAACAGACAGAAGCTCAAAAGCGTCGGATGTCGGAACCGACGCTGACCGGATGGGGCGTATAAAAAGGTCTTGTTTCCTGTGCCGGTTTCGACCATTTGACACCCCTCGGACGAGACAATTCGCGTTGTCCTATTGTACACCGATCTGCCCCATACCTCCTAACCATCAGATACCACTGTTAGAAAGTATACAACTGTCGTTGAGCACATGCTTGCTCGTTTCCCCATACTCTCTCTGGCCTAAGGACACAATGCCGCCGTCGACTTGTTCCGGTCTCGCGGGCTCCGTGTCTCGTGACGAAAAGCTCCAAAGGACACATATAGTTGAATTATAGTGCAGAGAACAGTAGTTTTTTTTTTTACCCCAATTGTTATCATTTTCCACCTATACAAAACTATTTTATTGCTTGTGTCAAGCAATAGATTAAGATATATGTTTTTTTCGCTTAATTAACCGTTTCGACGATGACAATAAAATTGTGCCCATCGAACGAGGACGTGTGTACATTTTTTATGTATACTTATGTATGCTCACTATTAGTACAACACTATTTTCGACAACAACATTTTCTAATCGAACGGTATCATATTAGCATAGTCATACTAATTATGTAATTATGAGAAAAGTAATGATTCTAGAAAAGTGTAACCTAAGCTAAACGAAATGGATATAATAGAAGTTTGTTAGATTTTCTTCATTTAAAAATGTGCTTTTTTATTTAACAGTTTGGTTGTTTATTTCAGATAACGGCGCACCAGTTTAGATTATTTCCGAAAATCCGTATAACATTACTTCCGTGGTTTCGTCGATGATACGGAAAGTTAAACGATCCGGAAGATCATCGAATACAGTTTTTATCCGATATCTTTAGACTGCTACTAAAACGCGTATCATTACAACGTTGCGATTGTATCGATACAGCAAACCTGCCGAATGTAGTAAAATAACCAATTGAGTACCTTGAGAAAATTAAAATAATAATGAAAAAGTTATTGCAAAATGCACATTAGATCATCGTGTATAAATCACTGTTGTAGGTTTGTTCACCAAAACGACCTTGATCGCTATCACGAGCTTACAATAATTTAAAAATCATGCATTAATTCTATTAAGTGCATTGCGTTTGTGATTAAGTATTAATAAATAATTTTACATAAAATTCGGAACTAATTAAATGCTAATTGTATGTTTAAATTATTACAGCGTATATGCCCAGTCAACATACCTTTTATATAACATGCTTGTCAATAATCACTTTTACTTGAAAACAAAAATATTAATGATAAAAAAAAAACGGTTACTTACAACAAAAACTGTATAATTATTCTCTGTATGTTACATAAATGTTTTGTTTGAACGATAGACTATTTAAAGTTTCAGTTGTCTTAAAATTATTCTCCTTGTAATTCATTTATCGAAATCACTTATCATTTTTTAAATAATTATCGTATATTAAATAAACAAATTATCGGAAAAAAAATTACTTACACTTTTGTAAATAATTCTGTGATTATTTTACAAAAACTGACGGGTTAAATTTAACTTTTTCAAAGGAACAAAAAAAAAAATGTACAAATATTTCTCGATGAAATTGAAATGTAAATTTTTGACACGGCAAAAACATCATTCGCTATACAAATTTAAAAAATGTGAAAAACCCTATTTTTATGACTTATAAGCAGTTGAATATAAGTAACAGAATAATTATTGTATTGAGCTTAATAAATTTGATGGTCTAACAATAAAATGTATTGTACCACAAGAAATTTAATCACATTATTATATTTAATGAGTACTTTATCTAATATTCTTAGACTACAGGAAAATAAGACAATTTATAAATTGTTCACAAAAGTTTATGAGAAAACAAAAATAAAATATTAAATTTTGTAATTTTGTGAATGGTGTAAAAAATTCTGGGATTATAATTGATTTTGGAGTGATAAAACCTGTTAATTTATCAATAACGAGAATTGACTGTCAAATTGACTTTCTACAATCAAAAATTTCAAAAAGGAATTTATTATCTCTGATTAAACTATACACAAATCTGGTTTGAACACTAATAATCGGACTAAAACACTGTTAGTTGATATCGTTTCATATGAAGACGTTAATCTTAAAGAAGATTCATTTGTTAGCATATATACTGTACAGATTGTTAAGTTGCCTATTTAAAGCGCCTATTAAGTAAATTAATGTAAAAATATTTTTTTAATTTTAGCTAATATGAAGTATTGAGTCTAATAATTTAAAATTAGTCACGAGAAATTTGTAATATTTAAGTAACAATGAGTAAGGCCCGAAATTCAATGCATATAAAATTTTTTTTTAATTATCTTAAACAACACTCTGCATGCACAACATTCGATTTATGTAATAGCAAATTAAAAATTAAACTTTTATATTGAATTGTTTACAATTAATAGTATTTTTTAATACGTTCAAGAGTGCATTTAGGCAAAAGTTACTTAATTATTAAAATTAATTAAATTAAAACTTATTCGGCAGCGCCAATAAAATTTTTTGATATGTATTATTCTTTATGCATAAAAATATTAATAGCATTTTAATTTAAGCTTAGTTTACCAAAAATTAAGGAAACTGCCTCTATTATGTTTAAATTACGGCCTTAATAAAATATAAAATACTTTTAAACTATTAATAATATTTTTAATACAAAATTAAATCAATGTATAAAAAAAATTATAATAATAACTTTTTAGAGCATATTTTTATTCTAAAGCATTTTAATAGTGTAGTTTTTATTTTAAAGTTTTTTTTTAAACGTATTTATACTTTTAAACCCATTTTAGAAGTTTTTACGCACATTTTGTTATGTTTTTAGGGCATTTAAGTTCGGGCCTCAAAAATAAATTATTTTGTAAGCATAATATTTTTGATTACAGTTATGTTAGTCAATTGCACTAAAATTAAAAACATTTACAATATTCTCACCTTTTTCATTGTTGTTGTCATAAATTCCACTTAAAACTTCTGAAAAAAAATGTAAAAAAAAAAAATCACCCTAGTTGTCAAAGACAAAACACATAATTTTCTTTACGACTAAAAACAATTTAAGTGTTGTTCGTGAGTAAGCAAAAGCGGAGTCGATTGTAAGTTGATCGGTGATGTTCAAAGAGCATATAAAGTATAATAATTTAAGTTAATTCAATAGCAAAATAGTAAATCTAATGAAAAATTATTTTGTTTACATATCTTTGATTTTTAAGTTAAACAACTATTTAATAATATATGATTCATGTTTCATATAATTTTATAAATTAATAGTAATATAGTTATTTAAACTTCAGTGCATTTTACGAACCGTTATCATATTTTAAATTAAAAGATATTATTTTCCAATTGGTTTGTTGGACAAACTTTGTCTGACTTGTCTTGTTCACGACGAGATAAAAAAATATATATATGAGATTTTATTTTACGACTGATATTTAAGGGAACACAATATATAGTACACAGTTTATAAAAAACAACCCTTGAAAGCTCTATGAAAAAGTAAGCCTCGAGGCTTTTAAGTTAGTAGCAATACAAATATACCAAGTGTTGAGTACTATTATATACTATGGTATTATAATAATACCATTAAAAATTTTCTATTTCTAACTTAATCATTTATTAGAATATTTTCAAATTAACATTTCTTCAAGATTTTAACAGTGAAATAAAATTGTATTAATATCAAAAATTACTTCAGGTTGTTATGATCATAAATTTTAATTAACATTATATAGTATGTTCTTTAATGTAATTAATTGAATTACCTCTAAAAAAATATTAATATTAAGGGATAACTTTGTTAATAACATTTTTTTTTATTATAATAATCCGTTTCAATAATCACCTTTTTTGGCATAACACTAATTTTTATTTTTTATTATTTATGAGTAAATTATACGTATATTTACGAACTAAAAGATAAATTATGAGCTATAATATATCGTTATTTTAAACAGCATTAAAAAAATCCATTTTTATGAAAATTCACAATCGCAATTTATTATGAATTATCGTTAATTTCAATCCGAATGTTGCAAGAAACTGGTATAATTGTCCAAGGTGAAAAACATATTAATAAAATGGTAATTTTACTAAAAAATTAAAAATGTACCCGTCCGTCATTGATTCAAACTAGCATAACTTTGTAAACATTTGATTCATTTTGAAATTTACCAATTAATATAAAAATACAATTCGAGTGTATATTTTATAAGTTAAATGTTTTTGCTTAGCCTTATGGTAAAAAGTATTCTAATCGATTTGAAAATTAAAGGAAAATAATAATAGCTACTATTAATGTCGTACCAGAACTCTGGTTTATCATCGAGTATAACTAAGTAAACCATTAAGTTCGCAATAGTTTTTTATAACAGGTATGCCAATTCGACAAACGAAATGACTAGATTTTGAAAATTGATTTTAAAATATTTAGGTGATGTCCGTCGAAGGTCACACGAATTAATCAAAAAGTGGTCAACGACCGGCGTGGGATATAACGTTCGTGACAATATTATGATATTGTGATTGCACTTTATGTATATTATTATTGTATTTATATGTTTATATGAGCGCGTGTGTGTATACTGTATAGTTTATATGAATAAAGACATCATTGTCGTCTCGTCCACTGACTGGAATACAAATTTCAATAAATATCCATTTTCTCCCTTCCGCGCATTATGATAGATACCTATATCATAAGCATTGTTTAGTAGTAACTCAAGTAAATATTCATAATATGTTTCATTAATCCAAGAATGACATCGCCTGACTTAAACGGATGCACACAGGATCACGATTGCACGATTCACGACACCATCCAATTATCAATATACACATAATATATTTAGTAATCAATATGCAAATTTTATAATTGAAAACGACTTTTTTTTATTAATAAAATAACTTTTTTTTATCGTAATATTGCTTCCAACGTTGGAATTGAAGAGTTCCTAAGTGTCTGCTGCTGTTTTTTATCGCCGTCGTCTGTACACTGAAGCAGCACACAGCCGAAAACGACCTTTACTCAAAATTATTATGGTCGTATCAACCCTCAAAAAAAAAAAAAAGCAAAATACTTAGCAGTACTCACCTACGGCAAAAGGCCTGTATATATATATATATATATTTGAAAGGCTCACGCATCAGGCAAACGAGGGAAGGATCTAAAGAATAATCCTACGTTAAAAGTAAGTCATTACGACAAAGTGCACTTGGGGTTAGTTTTATTTTTTTACTTTCAGATTTTATAATTTATATATAAATATATTACACTTTTGTTTTTGAAATAATATAACTAACTGCACTTATGTTTTACGGTCCTTTTTTATACCATTAAACGTTTCGAAAGAATAAGTCATTCTTTAATCAAATTAAATAAAAAAACACCCCATACCAGCACAATGAGTTAAATGAGGCTGAAAATATTCATTAAAAGATCTTCCAAAGACACGGTTCGATTTACTTCTTTTGAAAAATATAGTATTTTGGCTTATTATATTCGAATAAATATAATTTCCTTAGAAAAAACAATTGAAATATATATATATATTTGCAGAGTTAGTAAATTTGAAACACGAACAAAATGTTTTATATATAAGTTATAAAAACAATTTATTTACAAATGTTGAGTAGAACACCAAATATACTAGACAGTCAAATTGATCTGTTGCCAACAGTAGTAATTTCCGATCACGTATTATAATGTATACACACAAATATGTTTGTTTTATTATATATCACTACGGTAATTTTTTTAGCGTCTTGGCCATCCGTGTCCTTGCCCCAATTATAAACCTTGTTAGACAATCGTTAAGACATGAATCATACACCGTGGGACTTATGTATTCCAACTGAACGCACCAACCGTCCGCTTGTGAACAACACGGTAAAGAGCAATCGAATACCAATTGATACCGCAAGGTACATTTATATATGTTCCATTCTCATTTAAAATTCTTGCCGTACTATGGCGAATCTCTCATTTGACAAGTGGCCCATAATTTGTTGCATTTGGTTGAAACAATATATAAATACTAATTTTAATGATAATTACAATAGTGGAGCAACTGGGGAAAGAGTCCAATATTGAAATAAATAATTTGATTTTATAGTTGTGAACTATAATAATTTGATAAATATCAAATCTTGGACCATTTTAACATGTTTTTTTAATCGTTACAATATAATCAAGCTAAATTTAAAACGTTATATAGAAATAAATAAAATATATATTAAAGTTGTTCATATATTCATGTTGTGTCAAGTAATTAATATAAATTTGAATATAATATTTTGATTTGTAGTAAAAATCCAATTTATCTCTAACAAAATACGTATTATACTTATTATTAAATAAATGAGGTATATAAATTATTTTATTAATTTTGAATGACTTATCTATTTTGTGCTACTACAATTTATTTTAAATTGTTTTATTTATTAAAATTTTTATGTTTTGAGAAAAAATTTATTTCTCAATGGCTAATTTTTTTTTTCATTTATAAATAAATACATTTATAGTTAAATATGATATTGAGTTGTAAAATCATTAAATTCAACAAACATTGTCATTATTTTATTATTTTGAGTAAAAAAAGGTTACTCGATACTAATTGGACTGTTACTCCATAAATAGGGTAATAATTCACGTTTATTTTTCATTTTATTTCAGTTATTAACTCATAATTATAGTTCAGGTCTCACTAGTTATTACTAAATTTTGATAGTCTGTCTATGTAAAAAGATAATTTGTTTAAAACTTCTATACACTACAAGTTAAATGTGATTAAAAAAAAAAAAGTACGCAATTTTACACCAGTTTACTCTAATACCAACAAAGAGAGTGAAAAGTGCATACTTTTACACAAGACGTATGAGCCACTAGTCAAACGATTGACTTTTTTCTAAAACGTATTTGCCTAATAAATAATTTTATAAAAACTTACCGTGACTATTAATATAATTGGCTAAGTATAGGTCTAATTCACGAACAGACACATTTATGTGGTAAGGGTTCACGCACAGACTAGGGTGTGTACACTCTGGTGACTTTTCCAAACGTTCTCCGTCGGTGCTTTCCAGTGGAATGGCTTTAAATAAAATAACCATCACCAAATCCAATCTCCATACCTAAAATTTAAATAGAAGTTAAACAAAATTCAATAGCACCTGACTTAGTAGTGTCAGTTATTATTTTAATTAGATAAATCACTAGTAAAATAGTTACAATAGACATTTTTTTTTTTTTTTGCTTGACAAAAAGAAAAATTTCATTTAACACAAACTTTATAATATTTAAAAGTTGAACAAACAAGAGCTATTATTGTACAATTATTAACATGTTTTAATTTGCAGCTCTTGTATTTTAGACACTAAATATAGTAATTATATAACTATAAGGTAATTATTAGAGTATTTTATAAAATGCCGCAATTTGAAAACTGCATTACTCAACTTATTGGTACAACTCGAATCACTCGATAATAAATTTGATGATTTTACATTAAATTTCATTTGATATATTTTAAATAAACAATAAACTAAGGGCATGTTAAATAAATAACAATCTTATTTATTTTAGTCGCAGAGTTTTAATAATTTTCATATATAACCGTTACATCCCGTAGATTGCAATAATTTGTATTCGTGAAACGCCTACACGATTGGTATCTGCCTTCAGATTAACTGGATTGACCGTAACACGCCTCGGCCTTGGCGATACAAATAACACGGTATTATAGTGATATATCATATGTGATATATGTTAAAAAGTCATATACAGCAATATTAAGTAAAAAGATTATCATCATATAATTAAGCACTAACGCGCATTTTATTAAAAATATCACGAATTATTGCTCGAACAAATAGGATATACATATTTATGTAAATATTAATAAATAATATTTATGTTTTTTGTGCTTTTTAGATGATAAACTAGATATCAGATCACACATTATTGCTCTACTAACTCTTTAATTAATTAAAAATAAACAAAAGACGAATTGATTTCGCAAACAGTTACGCCTACAGCACGATGGGTAATAAATTTTACTAATTGGATGAGACACATATCCTGTCTTAGGATGTCTCTACGCTAAATTAGTCACGACCACCTTCGAAGTTCAATGCAGCATTTCATTTTTATGTATAATATAATTAATGAAATTAATTAAGTATTTTCCAATACGTTTTTAAATAATATAAATAAAACCAACGACAACATCGATTTTTCAAGTATTATTTGCGTTTTAATTGAGTACGTTATGAAGAAAATAATTAGATTCAGATAATAAGTGTAGATCACAAAAGTCTATATTTTTTTTGGCTCATCTTTACATAATTTGGACTAATACTAGAAATAGTTAACTATTTGTGCCTTATAAAAAATATCCATTCTTTGCAAGTCTTAATTCGGTCTTGAATAATATTATAGTTGTTCAGTCCATCAAATAAAATTGATCAATCGAATAAGCTAAAATTAGTTTTAAATGGTCAAAAAAATTTAAATATTGTAATTTTCTTACATATAGTTTTTATTTTAAGTTTATAGCAACCAACATTACAGTTGACGTCATATTAACGTTGTACACAAGCTTACAGTATATATTACTTAAAATATTTCTATTGAGTGTATAAATTACAGTTAATAAAAAAAATCAATTCATGAAAAATCGTAGAAATGCATTTTTTCATCCGGTCGTGCGTAATTTTACAATTTATCAAGTGTATTTTCTCTGGAAAATAAGTTTATGTGTGAAGACTATCAGCAACGTCATTACGTGTCGGTGGTTGCAGTTAGGTGTAACGTTTACAAGAGTCCATTGTAAACGGAGACCAGCAGCAATATATCTTCAATCAACGCGTAGGTACATGACGGTAAAATATATGTATGCATCTTTTATGAAAAACAAAAAATGTACATGTAAGTGTAAAGCTGATAATATTATGCGAGTCGGCCGCAACGGCGTTAGTGTTTTGTAGTTATTAGATCGTTGACAGCTGGGTCGTCGTCGTGGCTGATGAAAAATACAAGTGAAATAAAGTACTAGAAAATTTATCATTGAGTGCGATAAAACGTTTTTTTTTTTTTTGATTTATCATCCATGTTTTTTTAGTGGACACGGTAGGAAAATTTCCATGTCGGACTTTGCTCGTTTTTGTTGGATGATCACGACTATTTTACTGTACAAATCAAAGTCTTTGATTACGCCCCAATCGATAGCCTGACTGAATAAAACTAGATTTATCATGAAAATTCAATAATATTTTTATTTTTTTTTTGCCACTAGCGTTTTGGTAGATGAATTCATCACATCAATTCAATGTTTTAGATAGACGTTTAAATGTTCTGAATTAAGTTTATAGAACTATGTTAGCTCTTAATAATATTTTTTAATAACAATTTTTTAGCTTTTAATAATATTCATAATCTCTTCCGATATTATTTTATAATCTCAAAATATCACATTTATATTATAATCTAGAATAGAGTAAATGTTTTTATTTCAATGAATCTATTCAATATTTAGTCATTTGTTTAGTGTAATATTTGAAAAGTATAATATTTGTAAAAATAAAATTTTAACAAACCAAAAAAAAAAGTCCCTAAACGTTTTTACAGTAACTAACATTGATAAAATTGCCAATTGTTTTGTGAAATTTAATGGTAAACAACTAATTACTCAAAAAATAAATTATAGATTCAAACATTTAAACTAAGATGTACCCCAACGTTTTTTTACCTTCGCCATCATATCTTGCAAGCTAATGTTGTAAATAATTTAATGTAAATTTTTATATGATAATCTAATGTTACTGGACTCATTACCTATGTATGTTTCATTTAATAAGCGTCTATTTCAATATACATTTAATTGAGTTAATATCATAAATATATAGGGCAATTAATAAATATTATTATTTTTCAAACCTTGACCTAAAAGATCATAGTCAAATTCCCTAGAAAACTAATAAATTATGTGTCTATTTATTAGAAATAATTTTCATATTATTCTGACAAAACTATTTAAATCTTGTTAGTATATTTATGCATTGAAAATATTACATAATTAAATACGCTAAAGAATAATTAATTCTGCATCTAATAATTGGTATGTGCAAATCTAAATAGATCTAGCATATATTAAAAATAAATATTATGTTAAATATGATTTATTATAATAAATCTGAATACATATACAGTAAATTAAATCGGAATGCATTTTGTTTTGACGTTAAATTTTTTTTGCACACTGCTTTCCTTCTTAAAATAATTAACACTCAATTTTAATTTAGTTTACTAAGTTTACTATTGAGAAACCATGTGAAACTTGAACTAACATTATTTTTTAATAAACATAACAACTATCCAATATTAATTTATTAGTTTGGCAACTAGAACATTTCAAATTTTGTATATCTTTATCTAATGCTCCTTTAGTTAACCGTATACATATAGTAGTTGTGTTATCAACCAAGAAAAATTATTACAACCACATGGGTTTGTATAGGTCTTGCATATATAATGGGCTGTCGACGGCGAATAGTAGGTGTATAATATAATAATGTGTCTATCCGTTTACTGTCTTAAAAACGAACGGTTAGCGAATAATAATAATAAAAAAAAAATTCCTCGCGAGATCGGGTTGAGAGCTGTGAGAACGGAACCTGTTGTTAGTCGAAGAAGCACGTGAATAGAATATACGGGGTGCACTTACACCATTAGGACACCTTTCTACTGTTGGTTGTGGGAACTAAGTAGTCAGTTTGTTTTTTAATATAAAATTTTTATTTAAATAATTTTTGCAACTATCGTCACGTAGTTTTGACTTCGGCTTATAAATAAAAACAAATATTTAACATGCACAAGTTGAGAATTTAATATTTCAAAAATAAATTTACTAAAAACACTTAATATATTATTGCAGTTTAACATAATCATCAAAATTAAAATGTTTCTTAATATTTCAACTAAGAAAGAAAATTGATAGTAGATGTAAAAATGGAATTCTTTTTAAGCTTCAAAAATGATTACGAAAAAAAAAGAAAAAATTGTGAAAATATTAAATGTTATAACAATTATTCTAAAAAAACGTATCAATTGAAAAATGACAATAATGCAGCAATTTCAATTGACTTGGCAATATTATTAAAAAATGTCATATATAAAAATAAACGGTTTGATAACTGATTAAGCTCAACAATTAATACAATACACTTCATAATATGCATATACTTAATCTTGTATGTAACTTAGGTCACCAGTATTATAAAAACCGGTAATTTACAAGAGATCGATGTGCAAGCTTGAAATATATTATACGTTCACACAACAATGTAGTCTTTTGTAGGGCTAGACTAGAAACAATAAATCAACGATGTGGAAAATAAGCTATTCTGTGTATTAAACAAATCATCTGTGCAGTCGAGTCAATCAAGTAAACAATTTGTTAATCTCACGAGGGGAACTATAAAATTTAGAGTATTATTATTATTAAACGTCTAACAAAATGATATTCCATACGAGAATTATATAAAGTAAATTTATGAAGTTGTTTGATCAACACAATATTGTGCGTAGTTAGGCAATAACCAGATGGCTTATGGAAGGAGTAATACAAATCCTTTTTTTAGAAAAATTCACATATTCAATAGGCCAAAGAGAAATAATACCAGATATTTCTGGAGTCTAAGAACTCTTACGTGGAAGGCGTTCGATTTCAGAAAATGGCAATACTCGGTTTTCAAATGCACCAGATTTTAAAGCGAAATCAAGCGGAATTCACGGAGTTTTAAATAAATGTAAAAACATTTTTATAGCTGATTTTGTAATCCTCTTGACGATTAACGAGTGGCGTTTATATTACTGTTGTCGCGTGTACAACCAGATATTGCGGGTAATTCAATGCTCGCATGTCGTCACTATGTAGATTTGTGGAGAGGGCGAAATCTTGTATGCATGACATTAAATTCCCCGAGCAAAGAGTCGGTGGCGGACGATTAGACCGAAGTGATATAGGCGTCACGGAAGCAACATTTTAACGTCGATTTATCGCGTCCACCCCCCTTAAAAACACAAGTCGGCACATTTCAATTTCAAAAGAGGGCCTTACTCCTCTGATCAGTATGTATACACCGTGTACCCTTCTCTCTCGGATTTAACTATAATACTGTCAGTGTTCACACGATAAACGATCACGAAAAGTCCAATTTACTAGGCGATAAACAACTTAAATACATATTGGAATTATTTTCAGTGTTATTTTTAATTGCGCGGCATTTTGTTGTCCAAAAACGAGATATCGAATTTTGAAGTATAACATGCAAATAGAACATAGTTGAAATTTCGTTACAAAGACGATTTTCCCTAAAATAGATTTTCTATCGATATTGCGGTTTATATCTATTATTCATATTGATTAGAGATTTAAAGGAATTTTTTCTTTCGATTAACCATATAAGTATATATACAACATAAATAACTTCAACGACTATCGTTACATATTTGTGAAATAGAAACTGTTTTAATAAATAAAATTGGACATTTTTGGAAAGTTTAATGATGAACAGTAGCAAATTTAAATCTTGTCAATGAAAAAAGACAAGCAGGAAAACAATTTTTTTTCTTAATTCCCTCCCAATGAAAATAGTAACTGTACTTTCACGATAAATTTCAATTGTCAGAGGATTCACAGCCCTTCTTAAATACATCAAGAATGTTAAATATTTTTATACGCTACCAAATGTTACATTTTCTAAATAATTCAAATGTAAGCATAATGTGACTTGTAAAAGAATTGTAATCAAAAGTAAATATTAGGACTTGGGTGGAATAAATATCTATTCTAATCATTACAATTGCTTTATTAATTAGCTAAATCCTACAAGAAATAATTTTTTTTACAATAGACAGATGTCTGTAAAAATAAACATTACTTATGTATTCTAATATAATAAACAAAATCCATACCTTATCCGCTTGCCGTAGACAATCGATGCGACGCATTTTACCTTTCTGGTCAGGATTCGACAACACGCACATGGCCGGCTTTTTCCCTGTAATGCTCAGCACGAAATCTTCCCGACATTCTTGAGTTATGTCTTTCCGAAGTTTTCCTAAAAGCCTGGACGCCCATTTTTGTTTAACTTCGGGCTTTTCGTTCTGCAACAATGCAAAAATCACGGAAATCCATTAAAATCAATTCTTTATACGACTTAAAAATTAAATAGTACAAAATAACCATTAAAATTAGTATAGATACCGATGTATTTTTTTTAGACTTGTACATTTTTTTCTTTAATTTATAAGAGTAATCGTGTAATATTCTTTTTACAGAGTAATGAATGCATTGTTCTAAGCCAAATTTCTGAAATATTTATCATTAAGGTTACAGCAACGGAAGGGTTCATATTATTGATGTGGTTAACGATTAACAAAAACGACATGTTTCAATCATCTGACTAATTTAATACAGCGCCGAGAGAGTAATCTCGAGGGTACACGTAGAAAATGACTTAAAAACTCTCCGCTTTAATAACCATGTAATAAAAAGGGTGTATTTTTTCTAAGATCTCTTTACCGCCAAATCACTTGCAATGTTATTATTTAATACTGATTTACTAATAATTTCCAAGTTAACTGACCTAACTTGTTGACTGCATACATTAATCACGTTAAACAGTAGCGTAATTAGTAATTTTGTATGGGGTCCAGATAGCTTTTAGAACACACAGTAGTGAAGAGATTCACTCCTTTACTATGATTTTATGTCTATGGAAAAGTCTGAACCCGAGGACTCCCACAATGCACCACTGACGTTAAATATAAATCATACATCAAAACAATAAATGTCTACAGTTTTAATAAAAACAATAAAAAAGCTTGAATAAATAAATAAAATATAACTGAATGCAAACTAAAACAAATGTAAACTATAACATTTATGTAAAACCTTACAAATATCAAACCCCATAAAAAAATCGTTATAGTTTTGAATGGACTTGTAAACTATTCTTGGAGAAGCTTTCGGAATGAAAGTACAATTTACATTTTTACTTTGCATATAAACGTTCTATAACGTCTTGGTACTTCTGTTTAATTTCTTCCCTCATCTTATAATCACGTGTCGTTTTAACTGTGTTTAGCTTCAGGACACTTAATGAGTATCATGAGAATATCAATGAGACTTAAGTGTGATACTTATACTAGCAGTAATTACTGTTCATGTTTTTTTTAAATGGCTTTCATTTTCGTCGACTAGACATTGTCTAGTTTGATAGGAACATTTGTTTGAAATTATTTTTACAAATAAGATGAAATTTATCTTGAAGGACTTTCCAAAGTACCACTGATTTTTAGATAATTTATATTTAATTTGAAAAAGTATTGTCCCGGAGACAACAAAAGAGTACAGAGGTATATGTACAATTTTAACATTACATTTAGGACACTTAATTTTAATTTCCCGATAACATCAGTAAAGAAATCCGCTCAATTTGTATATTATTTACAATCATACAAGCTTTAGTTTATAGATTATTTTGATCAGACACGGTGAACCTACGTTGAATAATAATTTACTGTCTTACAAATAACAATATCAAAATAGCCACAACCATTGCGGTCAATTAACCCTTGTGGGTTTTGGTATTTAAATTAACCTTTTCGGTCATATTTAATCGAAGTAATTATTAAACCATCCTCTCGGGTGCATTTTTTAAAATGTCAAAGTGGCTTAACAGATTTCCCTTTGCAAGGGTAAATGAAATGTCAAACGATATTAGAGCCACACGCATAGGATTTATAAAAAGGCATAGCAAAACACAGATGATTTTTCTTTTTTTTTGGGGGGCAATTGATAAAATAAAAAGCTATAGGAAAGATGCACATAAAAATATCGTCTTTTGGTGTTATCTGTTTGTTTAGGCCAAAAATAAATAGTTTTCACGGTAGAACTATGTTAAATCTACTGGACCGGAACACAGTTTTCTTCGGTGTTTGTATACGTCCAAAAACAAATCACAAAAGAAAGCTGACCTAACCGTTTATTATTCACTGCGTGATTGCGTTACAGGCGGGTAAAACCATCGCCGAACTCATGACGTCTCCTCTGCACCACCCAATTACGGATTCAAATGGTCAGACGACTCCGCATTCGGATATCATAATAATAATAATCGTAATACGCTCACGTCCAGTGTAGACACTCCTCGGCCGACAAACGCAGAGCTAAACAATATTTCAATAACATGGGAGAAGGGGTTGGTACAATTGAATTTCGGAAACGCCTGCATTTGCCCGGAGATGATTGAGACGAGTGCACATTACAATACATGACCACTTGTACAAAAGAAACCGAGCAACGTTAAAAAGAGCCATTGTCCTTAATCATCGCTCAATACATTGAAGGGTACATGGAAATATTAAAATTTATAGCAATAATTGCCCGACAATACATTTTAGGAATCGGTTTTTCCTAAATTTGGATGTCTACATAACATGCACACGAATTATACATATATAATGCAATTTATGTGTGAATAGTACTGTGTATGAAATAACAATTACTGCGGTGTATCTGGTTAATGAGACATTAGTCAAAAGAGTTTATTATATATTTTTAAGTTTCGTTAGAGATTTTGCACTTTGGCGTAAGGTGTTAATAAAGCCGGTTTTATTGAGAACGCTGATTGATAACACAAAAACAATATGTTGCTGATAGAACAGCTTTATTTCAAACACAAATAAATTTCCATTGTCACGTTTATTATGGTATTGTATACGATAAGAACAAATAATACGGTAAGTGTCGACGGAGATGAGTACATTAAATGCACCTCTTAGAGGTGACCTGACTTCTTGTTACATACAAATATGCATCGCAAAAAATTTTTTTTTTTTTTTGTATGAATACACGCGGAAATATTTATAAGCGTTCAATATTTCCATTTAAGAATATTAGATAGATATAGGAGAAAATATATATTTTCGTGAACTAACAACATTCAATTGTATTATTTTGCTGTAGTTCTTAATTAATTATGTATGAAAAATGGGTGTTTATTCATTAGCCTTTTTAAAAATATATTTAAACGATTTAAAAATAAAGGAACACAAGTTAGACATATAAGAGAAAAATGCAAACATTTTTCTTTTAAAATGATAATCTTAAGTCAGTGGCGAAAAGTATAAAGACCATTAATCTGTAGCAATAGGATATTCGATATGAACACACGCCCAGCTATATTTCAAGGTTTTCCCCGGGTATTGGCTCTCAGCAATTGATCCCTGGAGATCCCTACTCAGCCCAGCGGTCGTAGAATAATAATACAAACTTTAAACGACCACCAAAAACTGGGATATTGTCCACCCCATCGACGTGCATTCATCTTGTTTTCGATACCGTGTTGGCGAGAGAATTGCACGTGGATTTATGACCAACCAAAAGAGCAATAGGCTTTTTCCCAAAGGCAACAGTGGCGATATTTGACCACGCATATAAGCATACCGCCAGCAGCTAAAACCACACGGTCCGCCCGGCGGCGGTTCTACATTACCTACCTCCGAGTGTTCTTTTCCGCCAGTGATTTATCTGTACTAAACGCGGTCAAATTTAACCTTTAACGAGGGCAGTAAAAGTACATAATATTATAAAACGCTCAAGCGAGTAGTTGAAAACTATTCCAAACGAAACACGACACAATCCGTTATTAACTAAGTCATTTGCTGTTTTCTAACCATTAATAATCTATGTTAATATATTTTTGCAAATCCATACTACATAATACTTTTATGAAGATGCAATATTGAACATTAGTATTGATCTGTACGCTAGTTTGACCGGTTTGAAAATTCATGAGAAGTATACCATGAAAGAAAATATAAAATGTAATTTAATAAATTAAGCAAGATACTGTAGAAATTGAAAAAAAAAATCCAAGGGCCCATTTATATTATATGATGAGCTATAGTGTGTGTAATATACTGAATATATTATGTAGTGAGTAAAATATATTATACTTGACCACAACGGACGCACTACCATAGTTTAGGTAATTTATAATGTAGAAATACGTACATTGTGAGCGGATTTAAACATACTGAGTTTATTCAATTAAAGCTTCTAGTTTGAGTATTTATTCAAAAAATATACACATTAAATTCAGATTTCAGGTTTTGTTTTAGCTGATACTAGATCTTAAATCGAATTTATCAAGCGAAAGTCCGATTTTAAGAAGTGGTACAGAATTATAATTTCGGTATGAAAAATTGTATTATTTGTGGTCATCATTTTAATTAAATATTAATTTTGATAATTTTTTCTGTGACAATGTCGATGTCGAAGATTTAAACATCTTAAATGATCTGTGTTTAATCGTAATGTAACCTTTGCAACATAATTTTGTAAAAAGACATTTCCAACGATATTCGATAAAATACTAACAATAACAAAAATGATTATTATGTAAAACACATTGAACTTCGATCTTACGTAAAGCGAGTGATCAAAGCAACGATATTCTTTTTAGCGTAATTTTAGGAATCAACGTATGACAATTAAAAATAATAGTTTTATTTTCAACGCACTGGTGTTCCGCAAAATATAACACGCAATTTCGTGAAAATACATTAAAATTCAAGGAGAACTACATTAATTATTAGAATCTATCGAGTATGATTCTATTATAAATGCACACAGCTCAAAATATTTCAATTCAAAGGTCCATTGCACTCGATGGAGAAGTTTAATGGAGACGCTCTGTCTCAACTAATTTACGACCTACGCTTCCGAATAATATGAGTATTTATGTACGGCTGTGTACACATAAAAAATATTGCATTTCGACTTTATCGAAGGTCGCGTACCTCATGCACAACTTGCACGGAGGAACAAGTCACACCACCCAACCGGTTTTCGGCTGCCGTAATCGTCTTATAACTATAATATATTCTACACAATCAAATACTTATAGCAGCATCAGAACTGTTGTCACCGTCACTGGTCATTACAGTCTTTTCCCATTATACAATCGCCCGAAGTTAACGCGTTTTAAAAAAAGTATCGCATAAACATTATGCACAAATCTATTCTCTTCTAAATCCGCCACCGTAAACAGCAATAATATTAGCATTTGTTTTCGGATATCACAAGTACATATACT